AGAGAGAAATTACAATCAAAATGAAAGCTATTAGAGCAGATATAGATTTAAAAAAATAGAGAAGCTTAGGAAAACACTAACAATTCCATTGTAACTATTCCTAGCAGACTAAGCCAATGGGACAAAATGTCAGACACAGAAGACAGGCTTGCAGTTAGCAATCATGAAAAGAAAGATTTCTGAAAAATAGAACAGGACTAAAAATAAAAAAGCAATATAAAAAAATAGAATGGGACCATGAGAAATCAATACAGAGCATGCTAGATGAGACAAAAAAGAAAGACTTAAGAGTTAATTAAAAAGCCACAAATGACGTTAAAAACTTCCCCAGTGACACACAGGTAAGCGATGTACATAAAACTCCAATAAGCTATGATCAAAAAAAAAATTCTACAGCCAGGCACATCACAGTCAAGATTCTACAAATTCAATACAAGAATAGAGTCTTGAAAGCTGTTAGGGAAAAGAAACAACTCATTCTACAAAGGAAACTCCATCAGAATCACAGCTAACTTCTCAACACCAATCCTCAGTCAAGAATAGCTTAGAGTGAAGTATTTCAAGTTCTAAATGAAAACAAACCTCAACCCAGATTGGTGTACCCTACAAAATTATTAAAACTAACAGAGAAATCAGATACTTCCATGACAAAGAATATCTGAGGTAATTTATGACCACCAAACCAACACTTCAAAATATTTTAAAGGACATTCTAGAAAGAGATAACAAGGATTAAAATTCCATGAACCTCAACAGAAGGAATCCACCAGGCAAGTCAAACAATTAAAGAGAGGAAGGGTAAAAAATAAAACAGAGAGCACCAACAGCAGGAAAATAACATGACAAGGATAAGTCAATCTGTATCAGTTACGACCTTCAATGTTAATGGTCTCAATTCACCAATCAAAAGACATAGATTGGCACAAGGATCAAGAAGTGAGATCCAACACATTTAATTCAAAAAGAAATTCACAAAATGAAAGTCAAAGCATGAAAAACAATACTCTGTGTGACAGGAACCCAGAAAAGAAAAGGAGTAACTATTCTGTTTGTGAACAAAGTGAATTTCAAGCCAAGACTGATAAAGAGAGATAAAGATCACTATATCCTTGTAAAGGGAACAACCCAAGAGGAAGAGATAACAATGATAAATACATATACAACAACAAATACTAGTGTACCCAACTATATAAAATAAATATTAATGGGCAAGAAAGATCAAATTAAGTACTAATACAATTGTATTGGGGGTTCTCAATATCCCCACAGTCACAAAAAGACAGATCAACTGAACAAAAAAAAATCAACAACTAAATATTAGAACTGAACCAAACCTGTTAAAAAAAATGGACTGCAGAGTGTTCCACCCCACAATATTAAAGTATACACTCTTCTCAGCCACACATATGACATTCTCCAAAACACATCACAAACTATCTCATAGAACACGCTTAAGTAAATGCAAAGGAAATGAAATTTGTTATTACAGACCATAGTACAATGAAATGGGAAATCAATGGCAAAAGAAACCACAAGATCATTAACACATGAAAATTAATAGTCACCTTCATAAACAACCCATGGGTGACAGATAAAGAAGAAATTAGACAGTTTTTTAAAATTGAATGATAACAAAAAAGAACATAGTGGAACTTATTTGTAGCAGTAAACACCCATATCAGGAAAACAGAGTAAGAGCCTATAAACAACTTAATGTTGAACCTCAAATTTCTAGAAAAACAAGAGCAGACTAAGTCAAAAGCTCACATAAGAGAGTAAATTATAAATATCAGAACACAAATTAATGCACTGGAGGCTGAAAAACAGCACCAAGAATTAATGAGTCAAAGTGTTGGTTCTTTGAAACATTAAATAAAATTGACAAAATCTTAGCCAACTTTATCAAAAAAGGAGGAAAAGACTCAAATCCAGACAATTAGGAATGAAAAGAGTAAAATCATAAAGATGTCTGTAGAAATCCAGAAGATCATATATACCTACTTTGAAAGTTTCTATTCTAATAAGATGGAAAATACAGAAATGGACAGATTCCTACATACATACGAATTACCAAAGCTAAATCAAGAAAATATTAAAATCCTAAATAAACTAATATCAATCAATGAAACTGGATGTAATTAAAAATCTAACAACAAAGAAAAACCCAAGCCCTGACAGATTCATTGCTGAATTCTTCAAGAAATTTGAGAAGACTTAACACCACTAATTTTCAAACTCATTAATGAAATCAAAAGAATTCCTTCCTGGAAGCAGGCATTCCCCTAATACCAAAAGTGGAAAAGGATCCAACTAAGAAAGTGAATTACAAGCCAATCTCTCCAACGAACATAGATACAAAAATCTTTAATACAATACTGTCAAACAGAATGCAGCAAATCATCAAGATTATATCCCAAAGTAGGAATCATCCCAGGGATATAGGGATGTTTCAACATATGTAAATCAATAAATGTAACACACCATATTTACAGAGCCAAAGACAAAAATCATATGATCATCTCAACAGATGGAGAAAAAGCTTTTGATGAAGTCCACCACCAATTCATGATAAAAATCCTATAGAAAATTGGAATACGTGGTTTTTACCTCATTCGGAGAAAAGCCATCTATGATAAAAAACAGACAATGTCATACTAAATGAACAAAAACTGAAAGCTTTCTCTCTAAAATCCAGAACAAGACAAGGGTGTGCTGTCTCCACTCTTATTCAACATAGTCCTGGAAACTTTAGCAAGAGGAAGTAGACAAGAGAAACAAATACATGAAATATCAACAGGAAAGGAAAAAGATAAGCTATCATTATTTGCAAATCACATGATATGCTACATAAAAAACCCCAAAAACTACACTAAAAAACTACATTTAATAAGCAAATTCAGTATCATTGTTGGATACAAAGTTGACACTCAAAAATCAATAGCTTTTCTATACAAGAAAAAACAAACAAATTGAGAGAAATTAGTGAAACAACACCTTTTACAATAGCTATCAAAAAATGAAATGTCTAGGAACCAATCTAAAGAAGGATGTAAAGGACTTCAACGTTGAAAAACAGTATTCTGAAAAAGGAGATTGAAGAGCATATCAAAAAATGAAAAGATGTTCCTCACCTTTGGGTAGGAAGAACCAATATAGTGAAAATGGTCATACTTCTAAAACTATCATACAGATTTAATGCAATTATGATCAAAATTCCAATATCATATCTCACGGAATTAGAGAAAACAATCTAAAATTAATCTGAAATCAGAAGAGACCTAGAAAAGCAAAGGCAATCCTAGACAACAAAGGCAAGGCAGGAAGACTCACAATCCCTGACTTGAAATTATACAATAAAGTACTATGACAAAAAAATAGTGTGGTACTGGCAAAGAAAAAAAAAACAGATGAGAAGATCAATGGAACAGATTAGAAGATGAAGAAAACTCCAGACATACTAAGCTACCTTATCTTTGACAGAGCTGTCAAACACATTCCCTGGAAAAAAGATCACCTCTTTAATAAATGGCACTAGAAAACTTGACTTTCCAATGCCAAAGATTAAAACTATACATGTCTCTCACTATGGACTAATAAAATCAAAATGGGTCAATGATCTAAATATTAAAACAGAAACAGTGAATCTGCTGGAAAATACAATAGGAAAAACTCAAAGACACTGGTATAGGTGCAGTTGATGAATAATATCTCAATCTCACAGGATGTATCACAGAGAATAAACACCTAGGATCTCATCTTATTAAAGTTTTTGCACAGCAAGGGGAACTACCGACAGAGTGAAGAGACAACCCACAATGTGGGGAAAAATGTTTTACTAGATGTCCCTCAGACAAAAGATTTTTATCTAGAATATATAAAGAATTGAAAAACCTTAGACCCCCAAATTTAAATACCCAATCCAAAAATGGGCATCTGAGGTGAACACTCTCCTCAGATAAAAAATACACATAACAAATAAATGTATGAAAAAATATTCAACATCACTGGTGAGAGATTCCATTTAAAACAACACATAGACCCCAGCTCACCTGGGAAAGAATGACTATTATCAACAAATCAACCAACAGCAAATGCTGAAAGAGCTGTGGGGAAAAAAGAACCCTTCTGCACTGTTGATGGGAATGTAGACTGGTACAACCACTATGGAAATCAGTGTGCAGATTTCTCAAAAAGCTGGGACTGGAAGTCCCATTTAACCCAGCTATTCCTCTTTTGAGTATATTGCTAGAAGAACTGAAAACATCATACCACAGTGATATATGTGCACCCATGTTTACAACAGCAGTTTGTAATAGTCAAACCTTGGAAACAATCCAAATACCCATTCACCAAGGAATGGGTAAAAAAGATGTAGTATTTTTATACAATGGAGTACTATTCCGGCATAAAGGAGGATAAACTGGAGACTTTTATAGGTAAATGGATACGATTCAAGACCATAATCATAAGTGAAATAAACCAGATGCATATGTGTAACCATCATATTATTTCCCTATTGTGAGAAGGTGAAAGAGTAAATAAGATCCAAAATGTACAATAGATATTGTAAAATAGGAAGAACCTTAAAAAGGAATGAGAAACTGGAATGGGGGAATGGAGAAAAGAAGAAAGGGTAAAGTTTTTTTATAAAGAATATAAAGACAGTTATGCTACTAATTTAAGACAGTTATGCTACTAATTTATTTTGCTTCATTGAAAAGGATAGTGTATGCTAATATGTTTTGGGAAATGCCAATATCTTGTACTCTGAGTAATTTAAAGATAACAATACACAGTGTATTAACCATTGTTACCCTCTTATTGTTTTGAAATTTTATCTTTTTTTTCCTCTTTAAAATAAAATAAAAATATTTAAAAAGCATTTTGGGGGCTGGGGGTATAGCTCAGAGGCACAAGTGCCTGTCTGGCAAGCACAAGGTCCTAAGTTCAATTCCTGGTAGCAAAAACAAACAAGCAAACAAACAAACACAGCATCTTACCTTCTTCCCGTCTCAAATTCCGTTCAATGTTTGCTACACAAGAAGCACAAGTCATGCCAGTGACTTCTATGTAACATTTAGATGAAGTCCTTTGCTCATCCTTGTTATTAGCTGGTGTCATCTTTTTATTTAATTCATTAGTTGAGGGCAAAAGTGGCATTTCCAATGAGGGCTGGGCTATCATTCCAAATTGCTCATTTATGTCTGGTAGAAAAAGAAAGATGCTTTTCATTTGTGGTATTTATTACTCTCCAGCTACAACCTTGTCACATATAACAATCTACACCCTCGAGTATGGTAAACCCACATCTTGAACACCAGTAAGTTTCTTTTTTTAAAATCTGATTTTATTGGTACATTTTAGATATACACAATGATTACATTCATCATAGAAAATTTGTACCAGTATATAATTTGTTTTTTCCCCATTCCCCTACCCTCCCTTCTATTCCTCTACACTCTGTTAAAACCAGCAAGTTTCTATAAGCCCTTAAGAAATGTCACTTTACACATTACCAACTTTGAATTCCAATTTCAATACTGCCCACTCAGTTTACAGGAAAGTCTGAGCTGAGTAAATAATCAAAACTTTACTGATATCAAGTTTCTCCAATCATTATCTCTACTTCCAAACCCAGGCAGATAGTAGTTTGTTAATGGATGGGTATTAAAATGAAATTTTAGAATCATGTTTGCATACATTTCACGACTCCAATGAATGCTTGAAACTGGATAGAATGGGACTGTATATAGTATTACATTTTCTACAAATACCTATAATAAAGTTTAATTTGTAAGTTAAACATAATACAAGATTAACAACCAATAAAACAGAACAATTAAACCAATATATGGTGCTAAAAACTATGTGAATGTGGTCTTTCTCTCTCTCCTTCTCCGTGAAAATGCATCATTTTCAGTCTACAGTTCACACTGGTAACTGAAGTCATACAAAGTAAAACCATGCACAAGGGAGGCTTATTGTATGAAGTGAAACAAAAAGCAATGTATGAAAGAGAATTATAAAATGAAGTCATTTTAAAAATCTATAGTGTATGCACATATGATAACATGCATAGCAAAATCTAGGAGACTATGTACCAGACTATCACATCTGAGGAGTAGGATAAGTAGGAAGAGAATGATACAGGAAATTCTGTATGGTTTTTAAATATCTTTATAGACACTTAACAGTCAAGAAATAAATCAGAAGTAATTGTCATTTTAGACAAAGGAGTATTCAGAGAATCTCTAGACAAAGTATATATAAACTGTGCAAGTTCTATCATCACAGAAGCTCCCCTACATCTCAGAAAACCTGCTCTTGTTTCAGTTTACCAATTCCAGTATTAATCATTTCCCAAGAAGGGAAAAAATATTCTAACATATCTCTGCACCTGAAAATTCAAAAGTTTCTCCTATCCTACAGAGATAAAAGGAAAACAAACAATGCCAAAATTCCACTAATCAATCTAACTTGTTCTATCACTGCACTGAACAAAAAAAACTGATTTAGGACTATTTGGCTAGCTCACAACGCATCACCTGCATAGCAGAGATATTTTTCAGGATGCTGAAAGAAGTTTGTTTGGAAGAAACTTTAACAAAGGCCTATCATTTTCCTAAAGAATAATTATGTGGACTTTCAAATTCAGAGTAAACAACGTCTCTTAAACTTGATACACATAGAATCACCTTGGGCAATACTGTTAAAATGCAGGTTCTGCTCTTGTAGGTAAATGGGTATAACTTGAGATCATACTCATGGATGAAATGATTCAGAGTCACATGGGTGAATAGGGTGTTGTCTCCCTAGTATAAAAACTAAAGAAGTTAGTGGGAACCAAAATGCATAATACATCCTGTGAAAATGAAAGGGGAGGAAGTGCCTAAAAAGGGAAGGCAGTGCCACTGTTAATCTACTATTGCGATTTGAAACCCCTATTGTTTTCATTGATCCATTTAGTTTGGTTTTATTCTGTTTCAGTTTGTCTAATTTTATTATATTTGATGGCATGGACAGCTATTTCAAAGATAACAAAATACATTATGGTAGCCATTTTTTATTTCCTATTAGCTTGCTTTAAAGCCTTGTATTGCTTTCATCATTTTGCTTTGGCTTATTTTATTCTATTTTGTTTTGTTTGTATCATGTCTGATGGTAGAGGTAACTACCTCAAAAATAACAAGATACATTATGGTACCCACTGTGGCTTTACTATTATCTTGTTTTGAAGTCCTGTACTGTTTCCATTCTTTTGTCTTTATTGTTTATTTTAAATTTTCTTTAAGGATAAAAAGAAAAAACAGAAAAAGGGTACAAGTTATACAGAATTTCAGAAAAATAAACAGTAGGAAATCACTAGTTAATAGATTACATACTGTCATCTTAGAAATAGTTGTTCAGGTTACAAAATTAAAGCATAGTGGACATTCAAACAGTGAGACTGCAAACAGTTCTGTTCAATGATCCAACAAAAATTCAGTAATATGGTTATCTATCTTATACGCCTAAATATACATGCAGTTATACCCATTAGAGCACTTTCTTTTCCTCTTTTTTACAATGACATTTACACATTTTGGGTTTTATTACTCCCATAGTTCTTAATACTTTTTTTGAAGAGAATAAAACCAAATGTGACATAACAAAACAGAGTCAGTCAAATCAAAAGGATGGACATAGTACATAATGTAAAAACAGAATACAAGGTGATAGACAATGGTTACCATAATGCCTCTTGCTATCTTAAAAAGAATTGCCTATATCATCAGTTATAATAAAATTGAACAAAACAGTAAAGAACAAAACCAAAACATTGGAGACATTACAGGACTTCAAAAGAAGATAATATTCAAACCAGAATGGGCATCATAGTGAATCTCATTGTCTTCACAGTTGTTGCCTATACTCTCAAACTTGGTACTATCAAGCAAAACAAATAGAGTAAAATCAGTCAAAACAAGATGATGAGAGCAATACAGGGTTTCAAGTCAAGTTAATAGAAAATCAAAGTGGGTTACTATAATATATCCTACTATTTTTTTTATTTTTTCCCTTAATTAAAAAGATAAAAATAAAAAAAATAAATAATAAAAAAGGAGATTGAGATAAAAGAGAACATAACAACGAAACAGCACAGGTCAGAGCATAACCATTTAAGCAAATTAGTGCTTCACCACAAGATATCCCGACATAAAAGTAGTTACCATAGTGTCTCTTTCCTTGAAATCTTTGAGTATAACTTCGTATACGGTAGCATCAAACATATCAAGACAATGTAAAACCATTCAAGAGAATGACAGTATTACAGGGTATTTAGAACCAACTAAGAGAAAATGAACAATGGTTTCTGTATTATCTCCTTGTCTATAAAAGTTTTTGTTTATATTATCACATATAATAAAATCCAGTAAGATACAACATGTTAAGACCGATGGAGACAGAAGGACAAAAGCTTGATGAGACTTCAAAACAAGATGATATTAAATCAGCACTAGCTATTATGATGTCTTGTTTTCTCCAAAATAGCTGTTCCTACCATCCAACCTTCTCTGCCTCATTTCTGTTGAGCTCTTTTTCTGTCATTAGTTGTCAGTTTGTCTTCTTCATTTCACTTTCTGCTCCATTCACTGTGGCCTCTCTGCCACTGTTTCTGGAATCTTGGTATTTTTCTCTTTCTTTATTAGTTTTATTCTGTACTATTTTGATTTTATTATGCCTGATGGTACGGGCATATCTTTTGAAGATAGCGAGAGGCATTATGGTAGCCATTATTGATTGCCTTGTGTTTTGTTTTAAAGTCACATACCATTTTGTTTTGTTTTAATTGTCTCTATTCTGTTTTATTTCATTTGGTTTTATTCTTTTCAAAAGAAAAAAGAAAAAAATCACAATTCAATATTTATTAATTTAGACTATTAAAAACAAAAGTTTGAACTGCCACTACTGCGTGTCTTGTTTCAGAGCAATTTACTGTTTTAGATACCTGGACTACCATCCGCAATTTTCACATTTTAGAAATACAGTAATAAGTAATAGAAACATTCCCTTTCAACTACTTAAGTATGACCTCTAAACACAGATCAACAAAATTGTAGTCTTCAATTCTGTGAGTGTGACAGCCCAAAGAATAAATCCAGATGCCGCAAAAGTATTAAAACAAATTAAGTGCTTGATTTCTTTTAATTAGCTTTTTTACAGGCTGTAACAATACTACTTATGATTAAAGTATGATATATGATTAAAGCTGACTTCCTTGCATTTGAGGCAATAAGTAGAAATTATTTCTGAGAGGAAGACCATCCTATGGAACTCAGTGATTATTGAGGCTCTGTCTCAAAATACAAAAATTTTTAAATGGCTAGGGATGGACCTCAGGGCAAAGGTCTTGTGTTCAAACTCTTGTATAATCAATCAATCAATCAATCAATCAACATAAATAAATAAATTTTAAAAGGCTAGAAAAATAGCACAGATTCAGTCTCCAACATCACAAAAAAAAAAAAAAACTACAACTATATGCCTACAATTTATTCTCAAAAGATTCACATACAAAATCATTTGTAGGTTTATGTGTGTATGTGAATGAATAAACATATATATATATATACAAATATATACATATGTTCAAAGAGAAAAAAAAAGATGGTAAATTGTTAACTGGGAGATATAAGTGTAATTGATAAATTCATTATATTGTTTTTTTCAGTTTTTCTTTAAGTTTGAAATTAGTTAAAAGTAAGAAGCTTCCAAGAGAAGGAATTTAATCAAATATTTTTTTGCTCTAATTAAAGAAGATTTACCTTCATATGTTACCTGTCTTTTTATTTTTAGAGATTGATGATATTTATGATCATGACAAATGCATCTCTCATTTCTCTCATAATTTCTTTTAACATTTATGACTCACCCAGTACTTGGTGCTACCTGAAAGCAATAGGTGCCAAGCCCTCCACTCAAGAAGGTGCAACATGAAAGCAAAAGGTGCCAAGTCCTTCACTCAAGAACAGGTCACAATGGCTACATAAGAGAATTGTATCAGCACTGACACTGACACTCAGAAAAAGAAAATTAAAACTTATACCCACAATTCCAGTGGCACCTTAAAGCCTGACTGATCTCTAACAAAAAGACAAGGTGCAGTCATTTGATACCAAACATTTATTCCAATAATATGGGTCAATCTTGTCAGTTTTCACTCTGCTCACATTTGCTAATACCTCATAAAATGTTAGTTTACATGATAGTATTTAATATTATATTAGCATTGTATTAAAATAAACTTCTGAGGGGCTGGGGATTTAGCTCAGCGGCATAAGCACCTGCCTTGCAAGCAGGCAGTCGTGAGTTCGATTCCTGGTACTGATAAAAATGAAAAAGACAAAATAAAATAAAATAAACTTCTGGATTTGTCCATATACCCAAAAATAATATGGATTTAATAAGAGATTTTATTTGTAAAGATTGATATATCAAATAATTTAGACCATTGCTCTTAAACTTCAACATGCTTATTAAAATTACAATGTACATTTTGGTTCATGGGTCTCCAAAGCAGCTAGAGAATATATTTCTATTAAGGTACCAAGTGATGCTAATGCTGCTGGTCTATGAATCATGCTTTAAATTACAAAAAACAAACCAAAATAATTAGGAAATTTTCATCTTTCACAGGGTCTTGCTATGTAGCTTAAGTTGACATGAAGTCATTATGTAGCTCAAGTTGGCCTCAAAGTCACGGCAATCTTCCTGCCTCAGCCTCCCAAGTGCTGGGATTAAGGTATACACCACCACGCATAGTGAAAATTTCATTTGTAAGTACATAATGAAAGTTTATAAGGCCATCACTTACTGTAATTATAGATACGAGATTTTGTTCACCTGATGGAGATTGAACCCAATGACTTTGCACTGAGTTATATTCCCAGTCCTTTTTATTTTTTATTATGAGACAGGGTTTTGCTAAGTCACTAAATTGCCCAGGCTGGGTTCAAACTTGAGATCCTATTTGAGCCCCCCAGTATGCCAGAATTATAGGAATGCGCTACCATATGCAGCTTAGCTACTATATTGAATGTGAAAAATACCTTATACCTTATCAGACATAAATAGATTACATTTGGGTTCCCATGTTTAGAGGTAAAGGAATATTATTGTGCCATTAACTGATTTTAATGATACTGATATAAAACTAAACTTATTTTTGTTGTTTCCATCACTGACAAAATAACATATTATGTATGCCAAAGTGTTTTAACTTAACAGGAATTCTGAGAAGTATTTCAACATTATGAATTAGTGAAATTTGATCCAATAAGACTTCACTTATTTTCAAAGGTTTAAAAAATGTAAGAGGTAACAGATAAAACTCAATTTTGTTTAAACTAATTGCAGTCATTTTAATGGCCATATGATACAGTTTTACTCTCAATATGCTTGATTTAAAATTTTCTTCTAGTTTCACCATCATTTGCTTTATCAATCATAGATTTCCTATACTTTGGTTATACTTTGTTACTGGATACTATTTAACATTTTGGAGTCCTGTATGACTTTTAAAATAAACAACTATGCATCTCCATTTTGGAGTACAAGAATCTTGGTCTTTGAGACTTTCTACATTTAAGTGAGAATTCTAAGTAGGTATATAAAATGATGCAGCTACTTTGGAAAACAGTCTAACCATTTCTCAAAAAGTTAAACACAGAGTTACCATAAGACCCAGTAATTTCATGTCTAGGTATATACTTAGGAGAAACACAAGATAAATATATATTCATGCAAAAATTGTACACAATGTTCGTAAAAGTTTAACAGCCAAAGAGTAGAAACAACTAAAATTTATATTAACTGATGAATGAATGAATAAATGTGTTATATTCCATACAACAGGGAATTATTCAGCAACAAAAAGAAATGAAGTTCTGACATATTCTACAATGAATGAGCCTTAAAACCATTTTGTCAAATAAAAGAATCCAGACACAAAAGTACAAACATTGTATGAGTTCGCCTATATGGGGCAACTAAAATAGTTAAATTCATAGAGACAAAAAGAATAGTAGTTAGTTACCATGTGCTGCAACAAGTAAAAGAGAAATGGGGAGTGGCTATTAATGATGTTTCTTACGGGGAAATGTGGAGTTTCTTTTGGGGATAACGAAAATGTACTTTAAAACTGTGAATTTTGCCAGGCATTGTGGTACATGCCTATAATCCCACCTCTTAGGGGCTGAAGGCAGAAGGACCACTGCAAGTTCAAGGTCAGCCTGAACTACACAATGAGATCAAAGACAATCTGGAATATATAGAGTCTTTGTCTCAAAAAAAAAAAAAAAAAGGTGAATTTTATGGTATGTGAACCACAGGTTAAATATCCCTTATCAATGCTTGGTCCAGAATTGTTTCAGATTTTGAGTTTTTATTCAGATTTTGGAATATTTGATATCTTAGGGGCAGGATCTAAGTGTACTTTTGTTTCTTTGTAATGCCAAGAATTGAACCCAAGGTTTCATATATGGCAAGCAAGCACTCTACCAGTGACCTACATCCCTAGCCCCTTAGGTCTTAGGCCAAAGCTTAAACATGAAAATCACTTATGTTTCACATATACCTTATACATACATCTTAAAGTAATTTTATACAATATTTAGTATTTTTTATGTATCTGTGTTTTGACTACAATCCATCAAATGAGACCGGGCATGGAATTTTCCACTTTTTTGACATCATGTTGGGACTCAAAAAATTCCATATTTTAGAGCAACTCTGATTTTAGAGATTCAGATTAAAGATGCTCAATCTATACACATATACTTTAAAAGGTGATAATTATACAATTTCTACCACTTGTCATCAAAATGAAAATTAAGTTTCTTTCTCAGTCCTTTCTCACACTTGTTACATTAGAATCTAGGCATCTGCTTAATAAATTTTTTAAATTTAATCTTAGCCAAAACTCCAAGGAATAATGCATTTAATAAAATTTTGTATCCAGCTTTAGTGAGCTTAAAAAGTATTACCATTTGAAGGAAAGAACAACTGGGATAAGGGAAAGGAGAAAAGAAAAAAGGGAAAAGATTATATGTATGTGTGTGTATATATATATACATATATATATAAATATATGTATGTATGTATATGTATATATACAAGATAGATAACTATACTACTAATCTGTTAGTTCTTCAAAAAGAACAGTTTGTGCTTCCATTGTCTGATGATTTTTTTCATACCTAAACCTTGTAACCTGAACAAATACTTCTAAGATAACAATATATATTAACTAGTGTTAATTTCCTACTATTTTTTAAAATTCTGTATTGTATCCTTTACTCTATCTTGCTTTTTAAAGTAAAAATATTTTTAAAGTATTACTGTTTGATATCCCTCATTTTAATAAGGAAAACAAAAAATAATGATACTGTTCAAATATTAGTTATATATATTTTTTAGCTGCTAAGTCAAGAAAGTTCACTAAGATAATTCCTCAGTTTAATTCAAGTCCAGATTCAATATGGGTTCAAAACAAGTTCACATAAGCAAATTTCACTGGATTTTTGGTTTCACTTGAAACACACGTGCAATCAGGAAATATGAATACTTTGGGACTGGGAAGTCAGTTTAATTTCAAGGGCTAAATTTAAAAGCACCGTCAAAATCCTTTTATTTCTACCTTTTTTTCCTTTTTATAATAACATTTGGCTTTCCCATTATAAACATACCTCCATACATAATCCTTATGGTAAAAAAAAATGACATAATATGCAGGAAAGCACAATGGAACCACAAATAATCACCTTTAGCCTATGGCCCAAAGATTACCATTGCCAAAATTCTGGATCATGCCCCACCAGGAACCTTAACTCATTTTCATACATAAATAATATATCTATGATATAAATCACATACAACTATGTATAAAATTTGATCACAGTGTGTATCATTTCAGCTTTTCTTCATTTAACCAAATGTCTCAGACACTTTCTTGTGGCATATCTACGAGCTGGGGATTTAGCTCAGCGGCATAAGCACCTGCCTTACAAGCAGGCAGTCGTGAGTTCGATCCCTGGTACCAATAAAAACAAAAAAGACAAAAAAAAATATTATCCAATCTTGTGGCATATCTATAATTTGGGGGTGGGGGTACCAGGAATCAAACTCATGACCTTGCACTTGCCAGGCAAGTACTGTGCCACTGAGCTAGACCTCAGCTTTACTATTCTAAGTATTATGGCTTCATAGCATTTCATCATATGGTTGCATCATGATTGATTTTACTGTCTATAGTTTTAAAATACTATAATCATGCAAACATTCTTAAGCATCTTTGTATGCATCACTGACTACTTCTATAGAACTTATTTGTAAAAAGTGAGTTTCAGTGCCTATGACTCATTCCTCATTGTTAAAAAGCCAAATGAAGCAGAAAAATGGGGAAAAAAGAACATTAGAGGACTTAAAGGAAAAGTGATATTTACCTGACAACGCAGCATCAAATCCCATGTCTTCTATTGCTTCTTTCAAGGTTTCTGGAGATGTTAGTAAAGGATCATACTCAATAGTCCCATTGCTATTTTCAAGAGAGACTTGTATTGATTTTACACCAGTCTTTTTTGATATGACACCCTCAATTGACTGCACACAAGAATTACAAGTCATGCCATCTATGTTTATTACAGTTTCTTGAGTCAGAGGCTGGACGACTATGTTCAAAGGAATCTTTTGAAGAGATGAGCTGGAGAGAGAGTTGGAGGTATTTTCAACTACACTTGTAATAGTAACTATATACTGCCCTGGAGAAACAGCCTCTATCGTTTTTTTCAAACTTTCTGGAGTGGCTGAACTTGCACTGTATTTCACAATGGCAGATCTATTCTCTAAAGAAATCACTACGCTGCTTACATATTGGAGTGTAGACAAAGCACTTTCAATATTCGATACACATGATTTGCAATGCATGCCATCTATAATAAAAATGGCTGTTAAATCATTGCTGTATGATGGACTCCTCTGCTGTAATCCTTCGGGAGATTTGATGGGTGTGTTCTTCAGACGCCCTACATCAATAGTTCCCAATTTGAGTTGTTTGTGCTGTTTTTTGACATATGCTGAAAAGCCCACAGCTTCAATCTGCTTCTTTATTTCTTCTACTGTGATAAGATGAGGTTGATAAATAATAGTAGCTTCTTGGTTGTCCAAGGAGACTAGTTCATAAGAAAAAAAAACATTTAATTCAGTTATTACTGGGCCACTTCAGAATCAATAATTACTTCTCTTTCATTCTTATCTTTTGTTAAAATAACTTTGTCCTTTTCAGATAATATGATTGACACAGATTAAAACAAGTAAAAGATATGACCATTGTTGGTATGGTCTCCAAGTTCCTGCACGCCTGAGTAGAAATATATTAGAGATTAAGAGTTCCCCAAGAATGTTAAGAACCTGAACTCCATAAATCACTACACAGCTGCCTTTTCTGCTAAATTAAAGTCAAGATTCATGCAATCTTTAATTACAATTACTAACTTTACCAACATTAATCCTAAGAATATGCTATGACTAAGCTGCAGTGAAACAATAGACATTCTAATTCCATGGTTTCTAAACTCATGCTTAGGAAGAACGCAAAATGTTTAAAAGATAAAAGCAGAAAACTAAGTCTTACAAAACAAAGTAACACCAGATAGGTTACCTTTAATTCGCTGAACACCTTGCAGTTTCCCAATTTTTCCTTCAATGGTGCTAGTGCATGAATGGCAGGTCATCCCTTCCACTTTCATCTTCAGCATGACTTCACTTGCTTGAGCCATACTGTGATCTTCGCAAGTTCCTGAGTTTTTCTCTAGAGTTCTAGTATCTAAACTTAGGTCTGGAACCAGCTCTATTATCTGATTAGCACTCACTATAGAAGGAATTATTGTCACTACTATAGTTCTTTGCTGAGGGCAAATCTTAATATCTGTCACACCCTTGGTCTTCAGTAGTGTGCTTTGGATATGGTCCCATGGCAAAGCCAGTGAAGTAGTAACAGTCAGAAACACAGTATCAGTTAACATGGGGAGAGGATTAGGATTATGGAGAATAGCATCAAAGCCCATGTCATCAATAGCTTCCTGTAGGGTCTTTGGAGTCTGTAGTTTAGAGTCATAAATAATGGTTGCAATTTTTTCTTCCAGTGAAACCTTTTGGGAGGAAATTTCAGAAGTCAGTTTAATTTAACTATATGACACAAGACTTAAAAATATCAATCCCAGTATCACATTTAAGAATAATGAAATAACTCTAATAGGGTTTCTCTCTTCATTTTCATCTTTACTATTCTCACTGGAAAAAAAAAACACAAAATGTCTTCTCCATCTACAGGAAAAGCAAAGCAATATATATGTCTATGTGAACGTGGTACAAATTGGGTCATTAAAACATGTGCATGGGCATATTCACCCTACACTTTCACAATTAAATATAAACTACTCTTTCCTACCATTATCTTTTCACAAATTGTTTTAATAATTCACATTCTATCAGTCCAACAGATACCACAGGAACAGTATTATTTACAGAAAATAAATAATAACATGAAGTTTACTATTTAAAAAATGTTCAGTTAACTGTTGACAAGACAAGGTATAAATATGCCAATTTATGAATGAAGGCAGTATTCACAAGTTTTTGTAGTATAAATTCCTATACTCCTAGGTACTATAGCATAATATTAATTTTGTTCAAAACCAGAACATTTTGGGGCTGGGGATTTAGCTCAGCGGCGTAAGTGCCTGCCTGGCAAGTGCAAGGTCATGAGTTCGATCCTCAGTACCCAAAAAAAAAAAAAAAAACATTTTTGTTGATTCTTTTGTGGTTCACAAGTATGATAATTGGGGTTTTGCAATACTGTATGAGATGTATCGCTTTCAAACTTTGCTATGATGTCAGCACATTGTCTGGTGTGAAAAAGTGAAAAAAAGGAATATCTTTACTATTTTGTGTGATTATAGATTATCATATAGCCCAGAAACCCTTAGTCATCTGAGAACCCTCACTGAGGCTCACAGGGATTGCATTCTGTGCCTAGAGACCTGCCCACACCTGGGAACCATTTCTGAGGCCTGCAGGACCTAAAAGTCTGTGCTCAGCGACCTGCAGTCATCCAGGAACGCTCATTAGGGCCCATGTGGGTAGAATATCTATGCCCAGAGATCCACAGTAATCTAAGAACCCTCAGTGAGAACCACACAAACTGGGAGTCCACACCTAGCAATCAGTTCACAGCTGGGAACCAGATCTGAGGCCTACAGGGACCAGGAGTCTGTGTCCAGCAATCCATAGTCATCTGGGTCACCCTCTTTGAGGCCCACAGGGACTGGGAATCTGCCCTCAGCAACCCACTCATATCCAGGAACCATCTCTGAAGTCCACGGGGACCAGGAGTCCACATACAGCCACCCATGATCATCTAGAAACCCTCAATGTGACCTGTGGGGACTGAGTCCATGCCCAGTAACCCACAGTCACCTGGGAACTCTTGGTGAGGCCTGAAGGAACTGCCCCCAAGTAACTCACTCACATCCAGGAACCATCTTGGAAGCCTGCAGTGACCAGGAGTCCATGCCCAATGACCAACAGTCATCCAGAAACCATCGGTAAGGCCCACGCGGACAGGGAGTCTGCTCCCAGTATCCCACAGTCATCTGAGAACCCTCAGTGAGGCCTGTGAGGACTGGAAAGCTGCATGCAGTAACCCATCCACACCCAGGAACCAAAGATGAGGCTTGTGGAGGCTGGGAAACTGCATCCAGAGACCCTCCCACACCTAGGAATCATCCCTAAAGCCCACAGGGACCAGGAATTTGGATCCAGAGACCCTCAGCCATTGACTACCCTCAATGAGGCCTAATGCCAGATAGTCTCCTAGCACAGAAAACAACTAGGATTTGACATCTGGCTGATTCAAAGGAACACAAGAAAAGGTCAACACAAAAGAATAAAACATAGTCTCAAACTATAATCCCATCCAGATCAAGTACAGAACACATTGACATGGATGAATTTGGAAATCACTGAAATTTCTGAAATGACAGAAATCAAAGTAAAGAAACGCAACTCAGGGAAGTAGTAAAGGAAATGAGATGAAAAATAATCTCTCACATAAAGACAGAAATTATAAATAGAATGAAAGGATTGGTGAGTATATCCAAAGAAATCATAGATTAAAAAATAAAGGAGCACAGGAAAATGATGTAAACCTTGAACGAATAATACAGCAAACAATCAGAACACATGAGACAGATTCAAGGAGATATTCAGAAAATAAAGAATCCCACTGAAAGCTGAAAAATCACATAAATAAAATTGAAGATAGTCAGATTTTGAAGACAAGATTGCACCTAGTGATCACAAAAGGAAAGACTGCTTAAAAATAACAAGAAATCAGGAAATAACTCAACAGCTACAAGATGACACAAAGAGAAATATAAGGATGATAGGTGTCAACGAAAAAGGACACAACCTTAATGACATAAAAAGTCTTTTTGCAGAAGGAATAGCAAAAAATTTTCCAAACATGGGGAAAGAATCATACACACAGATAAGCAAGCTTTATAGTACTCCAATTAGCTATAACTATGATAAATCTACAATTCAATATATAATAATTAAGATTCCAGAAATCTGGCTTAAGAACAGATGATTAAATGCTGCTAGAAAAATGAAACAGATTACCTATAAAGGAAAGCCTGTCAGAATCACAGAGGACTTCTCAACCCAAACCATCAAGGCAAAAAGAGCATGGAATGAGGTACTCCAAGTCCTTAAAGAAAACAACTTCCGGACTAGGGATTTAGCTCAGTGGCATAAGCACCAACCTGGCAAGTTTAAGGTCATGAGTTCGATCCCCAGTACCAAAAAAAAAGAGTAAGTCGGGGGCTGGGGATTTAGCTCAGCGGCATAAGCGCCTGCCTTGCAAGCAGCCAGTCGTGAGTTCGATCCCCGGTACCGATAAAAACGAAAAAGACCAAAAAAAAAAAAAAAAAAAAAGAGTAAGTTTCTAAATCGTCAAGGCAAGGTTCACCATGGAGCAGGGAAGCCATTAGATTAAATGAGCCCAGCATGCTTAAAATCCTTGCCTTAGTCCCGAACACTTGGGGGTAAAAATAAGATAATTTATTTGGGCTAGGGATTTAGCTCAGTGGCATAAGCGCCTGCCTGGCAAGCACAACGGTGTGAGTTCGATCCCTGGTACCAAATTTAAAACAAAAAAAGAAAACAACTTCCAACCCAGACTGATTTATCCTGCAAAATTATCTTTCCAAATCAGTGGAGAAATAAGATACTTCCATGACAAAGAACAACTGAAGAACTTCATATCATCCAACCTTCAGACCATCCACCTACAAAATGTACTGTAGAAGAGATAAAAATGAGCACAATTCCAAACTCAACAAAAGAAAGAAACCAACAAGCAGGACAAGCAATTAAGCAGAGGAGAAAAGTAGGGAACCGCAACAGAAAGATAACATGACAAAGATAAGCCAATACATGTCAATTATATCCATTAATGTAAATGGTCTTATATTCACCAACCAAAAGAAACAGACTGACAAAGTGCATCAAGACACAATGAAGAGAAAAGTCAGTGCCTCCTGAGACATGCTTGAATTGGGAGGACTCAACAAGAAGGCAACCAGCAAGCCTTTCCGGGTAAGCCCTGCAAGTCACATAGCCTCCAGGAACAGTAAGCACCTCCCTTGAGCATACCGGAGCTCAGGCTGAAAATCTAACCCTCCACCTCCCCCCCCCATAAGTGACTGGCTGGTTCAGAAGGCAGGCTGAGTTGATAGCAACTAAGATACATAAAGCAACTATAGGCTTGTATTATCTGGTTGGTTTTGCAGCATGATGCCAGCAGTCTAAGAATCTCTTGGGAGTATGACAGTATGCAATACTCAAAATATGCATTGCAGATTTAATATCATCTTGCTTTGAAGCCCTACCATGCTTTTTGTTCTTCTGTTTCTATTGGTTCTACCATGTTGTGTCTTATTGGATTTTAATATGTGTGACAGTATAAAATTTTTTAAGAAAAATGAGATATTATAGCAGCCACAATTCATTATCAGTTATTTAGTTTTGAATGTCCTGTAATACTTTCATTCTCCTGAATGGTTTTATACTATTTTGTATGTTTTATATTATTGTGTATGAAGGTATGCTCAACTATTTCAAAGAAAAGAGACATTATGGTAGCTACTATTGATAGCCGTTGTCCTGTTGTGAAGTGCTGTGTTGCTTGCATTGTTTTGTTCTGATTTGCTTTGTTCTGTTCTCTTTTGTTTTATGCTCTTTAAAATAAAAAAGAAAACATGGAGGATTTCCTGTTATTTTGTGATTGAAATATAATATTATCCTCAATATTTTGCTTTGTTCTAATAGTTTTGCTTTATTCAATACTCGGTTTTGATTGATTTTATCCTGTTTTGATTTTCATTTGATTTTGGTTTTATCCTATTTTGATTTTCATTTGATTTTGCTATACTTGATGCAATGGACAACTATTGTGAAGAAAACAAGGTATACTATGGTAGCTATTGTTATTTTTATAGTATCCTGCTTTGAGTTCTGTACTAATTTTGGTGCTTTGTTTTGATTGGCTTTGTTCTGTTTTTTTTTGTTGTTGTTGTTGTTGATGGATTTTACTATCTTTAAAATAAAATTAGAAAAACAAAATCCAAAAATATGCTATATCTAAGAAACACATTTAAATAAAAAGGCAATTCATAGACTGAAAGTAAAACAATGGAAAACAATGCTCCATGTGACAAAAACTCAAAAAGAGCAGGGGTAATACTTTGTGAACTTCAAACCAAGAATGATTAAAAGAGATACTACATACTTGTTAGGAGAAAATTTCAAGAGATTACAACCATACGTATATACGCACTAAATATGGGAGCACCCAAATATATAAGACAAATATTAGTAGACATTAAAAATCAAACAAGCAATAATACAATTATTACAGGGGACCTTAACACCCCAGTTTCAGAAAGAGACCAATCAACTAGACAACAACTCAACAAAGAAATAACAGAACTGAATCAAACGTGTGAACAAATAGACTTAGTGGACATTTACAAAGGGTTCTGCCCAACAAAATCAAAGTACATATTTTTCTCAGCTGCACTTGGGACATTCTTTGAAATAGACCATATACTAGCCCAGAGAACATGCTTAAGTAAATACAAAGGAATCCAAATTATCTCATGCATATTATCAGCCATAGTGCAATGAAATTGGAAGTTTATGACAAAAGAAACTGCAAAAGCTCCATATACATATGGAAATTAAATAGCACACTATTAAACAACCAATGGGTCAAAGAGGAATGAAATAAGAAATTAATATATATAATCAAAAGAACATACAAATACAACTTACTAGAACCTATGAGATGCAATGAAAGCAGTTCTTACAGGGAAATTCATAGCAGTGAATACTCACATCATGAAAACAGAAATTAACAAAAAATGCTACACCTCAAACTTGCAGAAAAAGAACAAGTGAACCACAAAGCCAAAAAAAGAGAGGAAATTAAAAAGATCAGAGCAAAAATTAACACAATTGAGACTAAGAAAAAAGAATTAATGAATTGAAAAGTTGGTTCTTTGAAAGAAGAAAATCAATAAACCCTGAACCAATCCTATCCAAAAAAAAGAAAGAAAAAGCTTAAATTCATGCAATAAGGAATGAAAAGGGTATAATCATTACAGATCCTGTGGAAATACAGAAGAACATCAATACCTACTTTGAAAACCTTTACTTTCATAGGATCAAAACCAGAAGAAATGGACATAGTCCTAGAAACATATAAATTAGCAAAGTTGGATCAAGAAGATATACAACTTCTAAATAACCCAATATCAGTTAATGGAACTGAATGCATAATTAAAAACTTAC